TATATATATATATTGCCTGTTTATATAACGAATATTGTAGAATTAAACGCGGATGCACATTTGTATATTCTATATTTTATTGACATTAAAATAAAGGTAAATAAAGCAGAATAAAAATCTTATAAAATTAAATCTCCAATTAAATTTTAAGCAAGTTTAGCAAAATTTACTTTGTGTATTTATGTTATGTTTTTTCAAGATTAATTTCTTTTTAAACCGACGAATAGATTTATGTTGTCTATTTTATAAACACATTCACATTGGTAGAAAAATGCGATTAATAATTTTCTAAAAATGGAAAATATTTTTCTTTTTTGGAAGATTATTAATAAGATTTTTTTTTCTAACTTATTTAAGTATTGTACCCTTGAAAAAGTTCTTTTTTGCTGAAACATTTTATATTGATGTCACATGTAAAAATTGACTTACGTGTGCAATTTTATCTCCATGGCTTTTAATTTTAGTCCATATTAGCTCTCCAAGACTCTTATAGTTAGTAGTATGAGACCGTACTCTTCCTTTATAAACATTATTTTCCACAGTAAAATTCTGAAAATAATAGATGTCTGTTTCTTTACAAAATTATAATATTTTTACAACCTTTAGTAATAAACTTGCATTTTCGTATTTTTTATCTATGTACATGTCTCATGTCATATTAACAATTACTTTATTTAAATATTAGCGACTTTCATTTAAATATTATATAAAAAGATTATTCTCTCATAATATTTTTTTTGCATTTACCTTCAAGTCATCCATTTCGCCAGAGATATTCGAGTTTAAATTCCAAATATGAAGTATTGAATACGATTAAAAAGTGACGTAGCAAAATTCGATGATACCACTGCATCACAAATGATTGCATTAAATAAAATGTTTTTGGGCATCTCATTTAATTAAACTAAAATTGATTATTGATCGAATGGTACATAAGATAAACTTTTTTTCAATGAAAAATGTGTCTTCTTTAAAACAATATCACATAATTTAATATCAAAGCAAGAATGACTATGGTAATTGCATATATAATAGGCATAATTTAATAAACAATTTTATTATTATACATATATTCTTAAATATCATTCAAAAAATCTCGCGGTTTGTATCTTATCGAGACAATGCCACGCACAGGAAAGATAAAGCGACGTATAAGTATATCCATAACTATACTTTGGATTATATACACGGAAAATTTAGAAAATATGCGTATATATATGCACAAATTTTTCAAAAAATATGCAATATATAAAAATATACAAAAGTTCGTACAAATTTGCAAAGAATATGCAGATATATACACTCGTCAACAAAATTATCGCATAGATAATTTCATGTCAAAATTTACGATAATTTTGTCGACGCTGATTTAAAATATATATAATTTAAAATAATTTAAAATAATTTAAAATAAAATTGCTGTAATTAAGAACGCGATATCAAGCAGCGCGGTAGTCAATTTATATACAAAACGGTTATTCATACGATTATGTTAACGAGGAGGATCTTATCAAGTAACTTACATTCAGAATTTTTAAATGCGAACAATTTATTTTTAATTAACATATCTCCAGAACTGTAGCTGCAATAGAACATCTAACAGTATTTTTCTGATATAACGTTAATGTAAGCTTCTGTTTTGCGCAACCACAGTTTAAATAAAATTGATGCAGCCACTTCCGAGATCTCGAGATCTATTCCATAAAAAGTGACAATTTTTCGCGGAGTGTTGTATTTACAAAACATTAATTTAATTTTCTTATATATTATCTTATGTGATTGTTAGTATCCAATTTTCTGACATCAATAGTATTTACTATGCTGAAAATGGACCAAAAAATGGCCTGAAACGTTCGGATATACATATAGATATTTTATTGTCATAAAAGATAAAATATAATATACACACATATAAATATAGAATATAAATACATATTTTGTGTCATAAATGTTAAAATATGTGTGTCCAAAAATTCTAAAATGGAATTAAGTATTTATTATATCTGATAAGTCGGATTACACAGAATAGAATGATATGTTAGTAAATGTCAAAATGTGCGGAAAAACATACCAGTTTCTCGAGAACATCAAAGAGTTATGCACAATTTCTTACTAATGACTTGTTTTGAAAAGCACTTCACTCGTTCCTCCTTACACAATAATAATACTAACTTGTTTTTTTTTTCAATTTATTGTACACTGTTTATGGAAAAGTTTTTGCCGCAACATGAATACGCTCAAAAATTGTGCTCACTGGTTGCACCATGTATAGTGACTGAGTGATTATTGATCTTAAATATCCTGTCATGCATAACACTTTTTAAAGATTATCTTACGAAGATATAATATCATTAAGTAGACATACCATCCCCTCTACTTTTGTATGTAATATAAAATAACAATATAAGATTGTTAAGATAAGATAAACATGCATCGAGTAAGAAAAAATTAAAGCGATATAATATACGTGCATAAATTTTTTTTTCCTGCAAAACACAATTCGCGAGAAGAATGAAAATGATTAGAAAAGGATGAAAACTGCTGCTCACCTTGATATTCTATTGAGACAAGCAGCACCCGTTTATCTAAACATATTCATTTACATATTGTGTTCTAACATGATAATTTTTCCGGCATTTTATGCTTTTAATCAAACTTTATCGACCATAAATTCTTTTTAATAAAAGATTTCTTACTACTTTATTGTTTATTATTATTATTTATTTTTTATAATTATGTAATCTTTCGAATGTGTGTGTGATATTAACATATACTTCAATATAATGTATTCTATAATTACTCGATTGCATATCATTAATTTCTAGAAGTTTAACTTAGATGCTTGCTCCGGCAATGAAGGTTAAACGATTCAAATTTAAATTTAAATTTAACATATACAAGCAACGCGGATTTTTACACTTCTGATCGTCCTTAACGTGTATACATATACTTTTACTCACTTATATATATTTTGATTTTATTTTACTTATCTCATATTATTAATTATTGTAATAATTAATGTAATAACAACCTGTCAGAACTTAAAATTCTAACGTATAGTATCTCCGCACATTGTTCTTTGCGAAAATAATTAAAAACATAGAAACTACACACCATATAACATTATATATAGCAACTGACTTTGCTCTATCTATTCATCCGTCGGAATAATTATAAACATTTTGAGTTGTATCTCACAATAGTTCATATTATCTTTTCAAGGTTCTTGTAGTTAGTAGTATAAGACGACACCTCTTCTTTGTAAATATTATTTTCCACAGTAAAATTCTGAAAATGATAGAACTATTATTTTAGATAATTACAATATCTTTGCAAATCTTTATAAGCAATTTATATGCTTTATATGCAAATATAAACGCAAAGTAAAGCAGCTATTTATTTTAAACGCCGCACACGTATATCACTTATTCTTGATTGCCGTTTTTCACTTTCCTTTTCTAGTAATTGCTTTCTAACATGACATTGTTACTATTATTGCTATAAATACGTCTTATAACTCTAATCGACTTAATGCAATCGCATTATTCATTATATACATTATTCCTTATTGCAAATTATTTTTTTCTTTATTTTTAAATCTAGAATATATAATTTTATAATAAGGAAAAATTTGAAATAAAAAAATAGAATAAAAATATTATATTAAGAAATATATAATTTACTATTAATAATTCAGAAAGTTCAGATATTTACGATCAGTTTGAGAAAAGAGAAAGTGGGAGGCAGGGAGAGAGAATACTTATAAAAAAATTAACTAAAAGAATGAGAAAAAATATTTCTTATGAAGAAAAAGTTAAGTATTAAAATAAAAAAAAAAA